TATTTATTTATTTATTTATTTATTTATTTTACCGAGGTTCACTCTCAGGGAAATACAACAGTTGAACTACATCATATATAACACAAGAGGTTGTAACTGTCCTGCTTTATACAAATAACTGGAAATCACAATAACAATATCAAATTTGAAGCAACAGTACAACAAAGGTTTCAAACAATAACTTGTTTGAAACCTTTGCCCTGGGCTCCAGAACTGAAAACTACACAATAAATCAATATTTCTTTCTTTGGGTTATTTACTCACCTGGGTGGAGGGAGTAGCAGGTAACACTGGTTCCCTGCAGCCTCTTGGCCAGCTCATGGGTGAACAGAACGTTGCACAGCTTACTATCAGAGTAGATCTTGAAGGCTTCCGTGTTAGATGTCCCTATCCTGAGAGTTTTGTGGGAGTTCAGGCAGTCAAAGTCAATTTTTCCAAAGTTGTGTGCCAAAGAGGACACATTTACAATCCTGCTGGGTCCACACTCCTTCAGTCGATCCAACAACAGGTTGGTTAACAGGAAGTGACCAAGATGGTTGACACCAAACATGAGTCCAAACCCATCTTCTGTTCGACCCTGCATGTAGACGCCTGGAACAAAGCACAGACAAGCTTCAGATCTATGTCTTCACTTCAACATAAAAAGAATGTAACTTAAACAATTTCACCTCTGTAAGAAATCATGTGTCCATTTTAAACCTGCATTTTTTCTTTCTGAGTTGTGGGAGAGCTGGTACCGATCTCCAGCAGTCAAACCACGAGAATCAAGATGCATTCTGGACTGATTTCCAGTCCATCTCAGGGTCGCACAGAGACAAATGAAACAGCCAATCACTCAACCTCATCCAGGAATATTTTGGAGTTACCAGTGAAACTAATATGATGTCTTAGCAGGACGAAAGCTCAATGATTGGCACTGATCCCTCACAGCAAGAAGATCCTGGGTTTATTCCCTGGTTTGGAAGTGGGGTCTTGCTCTGTGGAGTTTACATGTTTTTTTTGTGCTTGGGTGGATTTTCTCTGGGTTAGGACTTGGGCTCCTGGAAAGTTTTTGTTTTTAAGTTGGTTTTATGAGTTTATTAGTGAGTTTCAATATTGTGATTTTTTTTATTGTTAACTATATTTTACACTTTTATTTCGTGTTGCTAAAAGCCAGTGGCGGAGCTAGGATTTTTCTGAGTAAGGGGCCATCAAGAGGCCACAATATTCATAGAGAGGCCAAGTTTTTATTCAGCATCCTTTCACACAAATCAAGTTTTGGTAAGGTGTTTACATTTAACCAGTCGTACATGTTCAAACATTTGTAATGTAATTTTTTTTTTTTCAAAAAAAAAAAGGTACCACTTAACAATAAAGCTCCCGATGGCTTTTAAAGAGTTTATAGACAGGTTATTAATTTATCTATAAACACTTTATAATTATTAATAAGTGTTTTATGCATTAATGAAGGTTAAAAAAGAGACAAAACTGTCTTGTTTCTTTCCAAATACTGAGCCAAATCTGTTTGGGTATTAAAAATTTCAGACTAGTTTACTACCTTGTAAGCACAATAATAATTAGGAAGCGCATATTTTAACATATAATACTGTATTTATTACTGCATTATAAATATCCACAAACATTAAAGGGATCCTTATTGTAAAGTGTAAAACTGTACACTATTTTGGATGGGGTGTAACTATTTGGTATGTTAACATGACATATTTTTTTTACTTTTTTGATACATCATCATTGTTGATAGTAGTTACATGTTTGAACAATAAATTAAAATATTGATAATCAATACAAAGTTTTAAAAATGACGATTTTTCACATTAAAGACTAACTTTTGGCATTAATACCCATTTATTTGTCATTACAATAAGTCTCCCTTTGTCAGTTGTGAAAATTTATAATGCAGTAATACAGTACAAACTTAATATGTTTAAATATGTGTTTATCGTTTTTGTACATAGCAAACTGGTCTGAAGTGTCTAATATAGCACCTTTAGATACATGAACAGATTTGTCTCATTATTTTGTAAGAAACTGGACAGTTTTGTCTTTCTTGTCCTTAATTAATGCATAATAAACATTTATTAATGATTCATAAAGTGCTTACAGATGAATTAATAACCTATCTATTTATAAGCCATCTAATAGGGGAGCCTTATTGTAAAGTGATACCAAAAAATCTTGCACAGTAAATTCTCCTCACCAGGTTTTCATACATTTTACTGAACATAGATAAAATATTCTCAAACACACAACATGAGAAAATCCAGACATTATTTATCAGTTGAAAGACTTTTTTTTACAGGATTGTTCAAATTTTCTTAAGAAGAGAAGAAGAATTCTGTCAGCTTGATTCATTCTGGACTTTACTATTTGACTCATTAGAGCCTCTAGTGTTTGAACATGGAACTGCATCCACCATCATCACTCCCAGGTAAAAGACAGATGAGTGACAGGACAGGGGCACTTCAGGGGGCCAATCAGATTTCAGCTGGGGCCAATGCCCCTGTGGCCCCGCCCCTAGAACCACCCCTGCTAAAAGCCCATCTAGGGACGGGCATTGCAAATTAGCTCTGCCTTTAAATGTTAGTGAATATAGTATTGTTAATCCTTGACACTTGTCCCTATTCAAATAAACAATAAATAAAATTAAGTTGTAATCTAATTGGGATTTACCTGGTTTAATTAAAGGTTAATAAATGTTTTCGGTCTGTGGTAGGAAACCAGAGCACCTGGAGAAAACCTACGGGGACAGCATTTAAACTCCACACAGAAAGGCCTCACATGGGAGGTGAAACTGTGACCTACCTGCTGTGAGACAACAAAGTTAACCACTGGACTGCCCACATCTTTCATGTATTTGCAATCACTTAAAAGTCAATATTAAGGTCTTCGATGCTGACCTGTGTGTGTCAGTTTATGAACATTACTGTGACTAATGTTCCCAAAGTTACCAGACTGATATTAAATATAAAAACCATATTTTTGTTATTTTCTATTTTATAAATATATTGTGACAGGACAGTGCATCTTGAATACATTTTAAATTAAGAGTCTAACCTGCGTTGTTGATCAGGATGTCCAGTCTGGGTTCAGACTTCAGGAAGGTTTCTGCAAAACTGCGAACAGATTTAAGGCTCCCCAGATCCAGCTGCATGAAGACCACCTGGTTACTGCCACTCTCCTGCAACACAGTGAGCACAGACGGGTCAGAACCAAATATCATCTGTTACCATGGAGCCTGGTAGATTATTACACTGCAAGAAACAACCAGTCACTAAGATCTACACATGACTGAATAACTAGCAGCTGCAGTGAGACAGACACAGACAGTGTTGCCAGACGTACGATAATTATCGTATTTGTACAATAATTTTGCCCTCTGTACGATGTACGATCAATAATTCCAAAAATCCCATAATGTACGATAATTTGACCGCTCCAATGTGTGACGTAATCGACTCGACACGCTGCTCGCTGACATGAGAGGTGGCAGGTTGTGGAACACAGCGGTGCTGATTTAGCGACTTCCTCGCTATATTTACAGACTTTTCAGACCCTCTAGAGACTGTTATTCAGAAAAACGACTAGTGAAAATCTAGGGACTCTTTCTGGTGTTATTGAGACTTTGAGAGACTCTGCCGTGAACACATTTCTCCATTGTGCTGCTGAGAGCTCCTCCTCCCCGGTCCCAGAGCACCGACAGGAGGCTTCTTCACGCTGCGTCTCTCCCTGCTGCAGGTAGATATCCATCCCATCCAGACATGAAAAGAATACTGCTGCTGCGACTGATCCATGATGGGATGTTAATAAAAACATTTCTATGACTAAAATAGATCCCTTTTGCTGGTCCCAAGCCAATAGAAAGGAGGGTTAGAGCAGTGACAGTAAAATAAAAAAGTATACTGTATATTAATCTATATATATTTTAGAAAAGGAGCAACAGAAGAAACTTTTTTGTTCTCTTGACAAACCAGTCTCTAAAGAAAAGGCTGGCTGCCACGACACAGTCAGCAATGTTTTTATTTATTTTATTTTATTTTTTTACCCTATTAAAACTCTACTTCCTACCAGCTGGTCAAAGAATCAAACGTCCAATGTGACACAAAAAGGATGATTCATATATTGAGTTAAATGTAGAATCCGTCTCTGATATAGAAATGAAAGTGTTTATTTATGTAGTTTAAAATATGTTTAACAACCTGCAAATACACCAGACTGCAGGAAACAGCACCTACTTCATTCAAACTTTTCTGGGGGAGAACACCCCCTCCCACATTRTAGCAGTAAGGATAAATATAACAGTAGCACTTACAGTATGTGAAGAAATAATAACTGTAAAATCAAAAAGAAAAGGTGGGACTGAGAAGGTAAAAGCAACATTTACATTTAATAAACATCCAGGTGTCATCCAGAAGATATTTTTAAAGAAAAAAAAGGGTTTTTTGAGGCTTGCAGATTAAATTTGTTCAGTATGCACTCAATTTATTTCTTGACTAAACTCCAACGAGTTGTTATTTTCCTGATTTCATTTTAACTTTGCCTATTTTAATYTACATTTTATTATAGTCATTTTATCTAATATTTCCTTTTAAAGCATCATTTCACCAGGCTCCCTGTTTTGTTCTTGTTTACAATAAAGCTTTTGTAAAAAAACAGACACTCAACAGAGCTTTTTAACTTTATTATAAACAAAAGAAAGTGCAGTTTGTTGAACACAGAGCACATTGTGAGCTGAACAGGATGTAAATTTGAGCCTCTCTAGAATGTAACTCGGGTGTGTACGATAATTTTCCTCAAAATTCGATAATTTTGAGCTGCTGATACGATAATTCAACATTTCCCATCTGGCAACACTGGACACAGATGAGCTGGAGGTACTCACCCTTCTGACCTCCTGGAGAGCAGCCTCTCCTCTCTGCTTACTGCGACAGGCCAGAATAACCCTGGCTCCTCTCTGAGCCAGATCTATGGCTGTGGTCTTCCCGATGCCGGTGTTGCTGCCTACAGAAACATACTCGTCTTAAACTGAGAGCAAAACATTTTTACAGCAAAGTACAACCATTACTCACCAGTTACAATCACTGTTTTCCCATGTAGCTTTACTTTACTCGTGCATTTCTTTCCTTTCACCACAAAATGATGAAAAATATAGAAAACCACAACGAAACAAAGAAGCAGGCAAAGGCCACACATTGTTCCTGACTTTGAGCCAAGGTGCAGAGTAACTTAACTCAGGCAGCAGAGTGAGTGATTTCTGCTTTATATAAATACACTTCCTTCCTGTAAGGGTGTGACTGTGCTCTTTGTGCTGAGAGATTACAGAACAGAGCTGCACTTTTTATGAGGCCAAGGGTGAATGATGTAACTAATGTTTACGTATCAGCAGGAGTAGGTGTGTTTGTTTAAGGAAGTATCGATTTCCTCCGTTTTAGAAATCATGGCAAAAAAAATGACCAAAACTTTTTTTAAACAAATATAGACAGTAAAGAAAAAAAGTAAAGTAAAAGTAACCAACTAGTAAATCTTTATTATTTACATTATAAATCATAGATTCTTAGACATTCTTTTTTTAGTATCAACACTAGATCATTATTAAAGTTCTAAAGTACAAGTTTGCTTAGATAATAACAAAATAGTAACAAGTAAAAGGAAAAATAAAAACTACATATTTTAAAAACAGTAAAATTTAAATTATTTTCTAAAATATTTGATTTATTGGAACTAAGCTGGAAAAATAAATAATGGTCAATTAAATTATAAAACACAAGGTAAAGTTCTCCTTTTCTAATTTAATTGGTGCATTTTAAGTGCAACATACATATTTTCTATAAAAGAGCCCCTAAACTGTCGCCCCTGAAACTCCTTTAAAAGCCTTTCAACATTTTTATTTTTTGTAAGTGAGGAGTCTGTATCTTGTGATCTTTTCTGTTTAGTGCTCTGCCTCCATCTAGTGTTCTTAGCTTAAATTACATCCTTTCCTCAGTCTGCTTCGTCTCTTTCCTGTTCCTTCCATCACACCTGTCTGTGGTTGGTCAGTAGCCCAGCTGTTCTCTGTTCTCATCAGCCTTGCTCTTTATATTTGGTTCTCTGTCTCCACTCTTCAGTCCAGCATTCTCTCTGCTCTCCTTGTGCGTTCCAAGTCTTTTTATAAGTACCCGCTGCCCGCCGGCTTTCTGTTTATTTAACAGCCCTCGGGGGCTGGGCTGCTAGGGTTTGGGGTTCTGGGGTTGTGCCACCCCTGGGCTGTGGTCCTGATGGCCCATGGGTTAAGAATCTCTGGTTTAAACCAACAGAGGTCAAGCAGAAAACAGCTGGTGGGAAAAACAGATTGATTTATTTGAATGTGAGCGCTGATTTTAGTGTAAACGTTTTGTAAAACCTTTATTCAGTGGGAACAGTAGCTGACATCAGCAGCTTCAAAGCAGTGATTCAGTTCATCTGTCTGTTCCTGCTGCTCTGAAACCAAACATCCTACAAACCATTCTGCTGACATCAGCGACTCTCAGCTCTTTGAGAACAACTTTATAAGCGTCTCATCAGACCCACAGTGTGAAGCTGAAGGCTGGAGTTGAGCAGCTCGTAGATGTATTTCTTACAGAAACGTTTCTGAAAATAAAACCTAAGTGATGTTGTTGATGCTGACTCRCTCGTCATCGTCTCTGTGTTCTGTCTGCAGGGATCGAGTTAGACCGGCTGGATGCAGACCTGATTAAGCTGCTGGCCTATCAAAGGATCCAGCAGCTGTTTCCCCCCAAAGCCCCCAGCACTCCTCCGTCACCAGCACCCAGTACTGCCTCCAAAAGTCTGTCCCCCCACCCTGACAGTAAGACCCCCCRTGAGAGCTGAATGTTCTGCAGACAGAAAGTGTCTAAGTTAAAGCTTGTCCCTTCTCCTCACCAGGACAGAAGAAAGTGCAGGTCCGAGCCGTCTTCTATCCTCTCACAGAAAGGGGCGGAGCTATCAGCATGTGTTACAGGACCTTATACATCGGATCAGGTGGGTCTGCAGATCATCGACACTGTTCCACATGAGGCCTTTACTCAAACAGGTTGTTTTAAAGCCTGATTTGTTTTTTACCGATAGTTTGTTGTAAAAAAACATCTAACTGTAGATCAGTGGTCTGCTTTCATCAGAGCCCACCCTGCAGCGTTAGAGCAGCTCACAAACTCACAGGAATCATTCAGCAAGTTAGTCAGCAATATATTCCAGTTATTTTTACTGTGTTAAAATC